CTAATAAGTGCACAAAAAGTGAGCAGAGACGACCAACTTGTGATGGGAGCTTTTCCTTGTCAACCCAAGTTGGTAAGGTTAGGTTACCTTTTTAATCAGCATTGTGGCTCCGTTTTAATTAGCTATTTTTGGGGTATTTTTAAAAAATTTTACTATAACAGTCTATATAAAAAAAATTTTATTATAAAAATTTGTTGAAATATTTGATATATTGTATGGATGAAATATTTTTTGAATTATTGTGTATTACTATAACATTATATTTGAAAAACTTGTTTTTGAAAAAATGACCAATCCAAATGGAGCAGTGTTTTTTCAGCCATAATGTGTAAATTGAGTTGACAAGCAATTTGTAAGAGTCTCTGTAAACCGCTTGTAATTTCGGAAGCATACTTTGTCTTGTGACGGTGATGTAGTCGAATTCAGCAAAATATTTTTCTTATGAATTAAAAAAGAAAAAAAAAAGAGACTGGAACCTCCTTAGCTCCATACTGATCCGTGGGAGGGGTGGAGCGGAGGGGGGCCAATTCATGAGGAGTGTGATATGGCTTATTATTCCAGCGGAGAAGGTGGGACATTGGTGTCTTGGCGTTTCAAGACATATATCACCTTGGAGTCAAGCTAGGGAAGAGGGTGGAGCAGGGCAGAACCCAGGCCCCCTACCCCGCTCCCCCAACCCTACCATGCGACTTAATTAGGCTCATAAACTTCCACGCCGCATCCTTGCCGTCCTCTTTGGCTGGTTGGCCGGGCCGACATATGCACCCTTTCCCTCTTCTTCTTTCTCCTTGTTTCGTTTCCAGCCTTAACTCGTATCTAAGAAACCTTGCCATATGGTCATTAGTAAAATACATTAATAATACAACTAGCTAGAACCCAAAAATTGAAGGTCTACCTAAAGCCATTTTCTTCGTTACTTAAGTTTTACGAACACATCTAAAATTCATACACAATAAAGAAATTTGCTTCGACCAAGTAATACCGGACCATCACCCTCCCCTCCCCTGTAGACTAATCTTAAACGTTCGTGAGAAGACAGCGAGTAGTCTACTTTTCCTCCCAATTCAGTCGCATTACGCACTTAGGTATATGGCGGCTACCTCTATCATGGCTTACGCACTCCATTTAGCATGAAACGAAAACCATGACGAATGTAGAATTCGTTTGTGGATTTGCTGGTGCATATTTGAGGCACCTTTGGACTAAAATTCTTCTGCCCTTTTGTTTGGGAGGGTGCATGAGCTACAGTCACTTACTAGTTATTTAATGCCACAACGAAATCTTTAGCATCTTTATTGATTCTCATGTCATCTCAAGTCATCATTTTGAAAATACTACTAATACCCCAAACTTTCATAGAGTCAATGACTAGAACGGTGCTCATTATATTAACCCCCCCCCCTCCCCCACGACCACGCCCCCACCCACCAGGAAAAAAAAAGGAAAAAAACACTTGGTTCCCTGAATTTTCAATCTTAATAAAGACCGTATGGGCAAAGGATGGATACGGAAGTGACACCCCCATTAAGATGAAGGTGAAACAATCAGTCCCCGATGGGCCACTGCATCAAATATCAGACATGTCCTGCATATTGTACAGTGTTGGTACCTAGCCTGTTTTTTTCTTGTGAATTGTTAGTGTCTTAGCGCCTCTTGGGTTTGTTTTTCTTGAATTTCTGGAGGATGATCATTGCCTGATTGGTGCTCTTTTCTTTCTCTTTTTCCCAAATTTAACTTCCATACATTTCATTTCTTCCTTGTATGCTTATTTTCTTTTCTTTTCCTCTCAAAAGCTTCAACTGATGGGGGCTTTGTTCCCATTTGAATTTTGATGCAGTGGGACCAGTGGCGGATTTAAGGTGGGGGCACGGGCCCTCACGGCTCCCCCTTAAATTCTTACAGTATCCATAAAATTTTGATATAATTTTAAGTGTGCTTTCGGAGTTTTCTTATGAAGGGAGCGAAAGAATTACGTAGTCTTTTAAGTTGGTACATGAACTAATATTTTAAAAGGATATATGAGTCACAAAGTTCCATTTAATGTAAGTTCAAAAAAAGCCTTTTCATTTTAACTTATTTGTGAATATTTTTTTTCCTTAAAATCTAAAAAAAAAAGTAGATAAAGAATTTTAGTATTACTTTTGCTCCCACTAAAAATTTTTCCTAGCTCCACCACTGTGTGTGAGACATTGCAATTTTCGGTGACTTTTTACTTTTGGCCCTCAATACTTCATGATTGACGCCCAGACTAGTGATCCCTTTTATACACTTTCCTTCTCTTTCTTTCTCCATTTTTCACTGGGCCGCCTTTTCTTAGAAATTGGGGCCTTTCAGTTTGTTTTCCTCTTATGGTGTCAAAATCTTCCGCGATTATGGCCAACTTTGCATTTGATTAAAAGTTAGTAATTTTTTTTTTACTAATTTTCTTTTTAAATAGAGAAAATATGATATTTAAGAAGCGGGGAGGAAAAAAAAAATGATTTGAATATCGAACTTCTAATTCATGAAAATTCAACCTTAGAAAAAAGTTAGTAATTTCATCAGAAGGGAAAAATTTTACTTTTCACAATTCCTTTCCCCAAAATTTGACAATAATTTACTTATATATATGAGAAAAAAGGGCTAATGATTAAATTTTGGCGGTAACCATCCACAACCCACAAAGCATATGATTAGAATTGACCCAAATTATGCAGAGTCATGTAAAACTCATGAAACTATAAATGATAGCATGTGACTAGACGATAGACGATGGACAATAGACATGTCATATTTTCTTTTTCCCTCTTGCCGAGACAAAATGGTTGGTTAAGTATCAATTCCAATAAGGACGAATCACACTTGCAGGGCCTTATCGGCAACTTTGATGGTGACTGATGATAGAAGCCAAACGGGTTCACCGTTGACGTGCGAGCTCCTCCGCTCCCTAATTACTGCCTGTAAAAGCTAAACGGCGGTTAAGCAACTTGCAAGTTGCAACTCTGTATTCTGTTTCGCTAATTAATGGCTTTTGATGTCAACGTCTTGATTTAATTACCCAAGCCATTTGAGAATTTAGCTGCGTTCAATCGGGGCGAGGCTAACCATGCAGAAACAAAACAAGTGGCACATAAATGAGAATTGAAAGAGATGTATGGTTTACCAAAACCCTTGCCTTTGCCTACAAAATTGAGACATTGTTGACAAAATATCAGTCGTGTGATTTTACATATCCCTTCCGTACCGTTGTTAATATCATGTTTTCACTTTATCAACGTTCTCAAATAAAAATTTTCATTTCAAATTTAATACGTGCTTTTTAATTTTGTTATTTGAAGAAATAATTTTTGAAAATTTCAATACACACATTTAATGAGGGAATATTTTGAAATTCAAATGATACGTATATAAATTTACCAGTCTCACCTCAGGATGCACAATGCGCAATTTTATTGGCCAATCTAAGATGGAAGGGCAGCCAAAAGTATTACACAAGATGTAAGGTGGCCCATATTTGCTAGATAGAGTGCAAATGCATATGCTGGAATATAATTAATATTCCAACGAGCACCAAGTGCCTTCATTCGCATCCGTGCAAGTTCTCTTCTTTTCTTTTTTTTTTTTCTTGAGAATTAATGAGAGGACGTGCGGGAGAGGGATATTGAATGAAGTAACTTGATCGCGTGTATTCAACGTGTGAAGTAAAACTTCAAGAAATTTGCAAAGTATGATTGTAGCTTGTGTATTTCTCACTTTTTTTCCCATGTACAGTACAGCCAGCCAGAGAAGATCATTTTTGTTTGGATAGAGAATTATTCCAAATGGAATAATTACTGTAGCACTTTTTGTGATGTGATGTGAGATAAAAAGATGGTTGGGAATATAAAAAAGTGAATTAAGAAATTTGTTTATGAAACATAGCGAAAAAATTTTTAGAAAAAATTTGCTATCCAAACAATTGATAGCCAGCGAGTTCTTGTACATGAGATTAAACTACACAATTATGCTTGATTTTTCGCTGAACCTTTTAATTAGTTAAAACTATTTTTTTTTAAAACTAATTTACCTGAAAACAGAAGCTAGGAAATATATATATATATAACAGAAGCTAGATGATGAACAGTTTGTATACCGCATGATTAAATGCATGGAAACTAGTGAAAGCGAAAATTTAACGTATTGCACATGCATTTATGTAATAATCTATAATCATGTTGTGCTCCAACATATGGATTAATAGCTTAATCGTGGAAAAGAATATTATAGAATAACAAATTACTACCTCTTGTTTATGGAACAAAAATCAATAATTCTTTCTCATTCTCTAACTTTGTGGATTTGTATTAGACAACTTAGCTTTACGCGGAGAAAAAAGGTTTACATCCTCAGAATTCTCCTTCTGAATTGTTTTCTTATTCCTGTATACGTTTCTTAAATAATACACTAGGTGCTTCATGGACACGCGTTAGTACACTCAATTTTCAGTTTAACAAATCTAATCAGAAACCTAAACACTATTAAAAAAAAGAGTAAATCTTTTTATATACTAACAGTGTATACACTATCGGATTTAAATGCATGTCATATATATACTAAATTTGATGTTTAAATTCAAATTAGATTATATGACATTCATTCAACCCGCCAGTGTCAGTGTACAGTGTATACATTTTGATAGTGTAGTCAAGAGTAATCCTTAAAAAAAAAAAGAAAAAGAAGAGAAAGTCCATAATTAAAAGAACAAAATTGGAACTGTATTAGTAATTGAGAGGAATAAAAATTATTTTCCAATAAAATAAATGTCCTAATACATCCCAGACCGTACGACACATTCCACTGCTGCTAATGCACCGAATACAGACACGCTCTGTCTCTCACCCTGTATACCTCTTCCGCTATTCCCACCAAAACCCATGTCCTATTCCGCCATTTCACTACCAAAACCCATCTCCCCCGCACTGTCACACACACATACCACCCACCCCACAAAAAACCGCTCCCCCCTTTCTTCACCCCCCTATAAAACGACGACCCAACAACTTCCTTCTCCTGCCCCCCGCCTTCATCTTTCCTTTTATCCATGAAGAAGTAGGAATACGAAAAGAAATACCCATCCTCTCTTCCTCTTCAGAAAAAACACACACTAAACACTCACGCACACCAGCAACTCTTGAACACACCATACCACACGACACCCATGGGTTTCCCAGTAGGTTGCACAGACGTATTCTTCCCCAAACTTCTGATCCACATTCTCACGATTCTGGGTTTAATGCGAAAATTCATCTACGTCCTTCTTTCAATTCTGGGTCTCGGAGATTTTCTGGAACCCGAAATGCCGCTGCAGACCTGGCCGGAATCCGGAGGCGAGCTGAGGTCCATATCCGCATCCTTAATCCGGGAGTTATTACCCGTGGTGAAGTTCTCAGAGATAAGCGACTTGGCTGCTCCGGAGAGCTGCGCTGTTTGTTTGTACGAGTTCGAAGATGACGATGAGATCCGACGGCTGACGAACTGTCGGCACATATTTCATAGGAGCTGTCTGGACCGTTGGATGGACCATGATCAGAAGACGTGTCCGCTTTGTCGGACGGCTTTTATCCCGGAAGATATGCAGGACACTTTTAACGAAAGGCTTTGGTTGGCTTCCGGGATTTCCGATTTCTACGGCGAGTACTCGCCGATTACTTTATAGGACTCAGGTTTTTAGCAGTAGTAATTGTTGTTTTACTACTTTATAGTGCTTTAGCGAACCTTTTTTTTAAAAAAAAAAAAATTTCCTTTTTCTGCCTTTCTGGTGGCGGTGGGTTTGGTAGGAGAGGTTCTCAAATGTACAGGAGTGAAAAAAAAAAAAAAACTTATTATATATTTACGAGGGGGGGAAAAAAAGATATACGTTGATAAATATGTTTTGTATAGTCTTTTTAGTCTTCTCTCGAAAGAGTTTGATAATGAGACAATAAATATAATATGTTTTCCGAGAGGCATTCTCGTTGTTCTCTTTAATTAATACTAAGTAACTAATTTGTAGGTAGGTAAATAAATGGTTATGATCTCTACTTTGCGGGAATAAACAATTAAGTTATAGCGAATGGGAGGGTTAGGTTTAATAATTAGTATTAAGGTTGTAATTTCATAAATGAGAACAGGTATTGGAATTTGGGCCTGCAAATTACTTACAATTGCTGGTGATGTTTTGTTTGTATGTTGGCACATTAGCGGCTAACTCGGATCTGGTCTTTTTTCTTTTTTTTGCCTTTCAACGTCTCTTTATTTTGTTGGGTAGGCAATCTCATCGCATCAAATCAAATATTGGATGACAGAAATTTCATGTTATGTTATATGGGGAAGAATTAAAAAGACAGTAGTAATTAATTCTTCAACAATTATCTGAGCAATTCATTCAGCGAATTCAATAAACTTTTGCAATTATGAGGAATCAATCAAAACAAAACATGAGAGTTTGGGCCAGAGTTGATACACCATGATGATTTAGAGCAAAGATTTCCGTGGGAGTTTGGGAAGTTGCAGACTTGCAGGGCAGAGTCTTTCCTTCCCCCCAATCCTCCTGTCTATTGATTACTATTAAAGAAGCTATACTACATAATATAGGGCAGGACCTCCCAACTTCACAATGGCGAATGATACGGAAATACATCTGTCACAAACCCAGTTTCCAATCTGCAGTGTGGTCTCACCTCACGGCCCGGTTATTCATTTATCTTTCTTTCATTTTTTGGTAGGACCATAGATAGATAGATAGGATAGCTAAACTGTCTTTTACAAACCGATGAAACCCCCCGGCATCATCCTTTAATAAAATTATTACAAAGAAACTTGAATTTAGAAGTGAACAAAATAAAATTGATTGATAAGGACATTACATAACAAAATTGATTGATAAGGACATTATTATAAAATAAAATGGATTGGATTCTCTCCTTTTTCTCCTTTCACCTGTTCTAATTTCCGTTCCTTTTCTTTGCTAACTCTTACTAAATTTCTTCCCCGTAGGACCGTAATCTTCTTACTACTCGTTGAGGAGAAGAAGTAAACGATCAGCTCAAAGTCTGGTGGCCACCGTCAAGTGTTATAATATGTAGCTTCTTTAAAAAATTTAGATGAGTACGTCATGCATTCGATTGCTCCAGTGATGGTTTAGTCTCGATCAATTCCCTAGGCCCAATTATTAGTACTAATCAATGTGGAGAGGAATATACAAATATTGTAAAAGTGCGAAATGTTTTTCTTACATTTCCTTTTCTTTGACGCATTCTTTTCCGTGCTTGAAAGATTGGAGGGATGTTTTTCTTACGTTTCCTTTTCTTTGACGCATTCCTTACCAGTCTAATTTTATGGCGGATGACTTTTTTGGCAAATGAAAGCAAAGTGAAAGAGATGGTATTTGACCTCAGGATCCATTCTTTTCCAGCCTAATTTTATGTTTTTCTTACATTTCCTTGTTTTTGGAGGATTCCCATAAATAACGAGTATTGATCACTCGTTTTGCTTTCCTTACAACCCCCTTTGCTGTCTCCACGCGGTTCCCTTGCAATTCAGAATTCAGGCATCTTGTCTCAAAATATAAATGAAAACCCGGTCCAGCTGCACATATTCTAATGAGTTGTTAAAATCACAATAATACAATTCTTCATTTCTTGAACCTACTGCAACTATTTTACTCCCCTTTCATTGACATACCTACGAAATCTGCATATAAGCTTAGAAGTTTGAGCGTTAAAATACTTGCAGGAACCGAATTGCTACAATTTTTTAAAACGACATTTACTAACTAATCATCCCACGCCCCAATTAATTTGTACTAGTTCTGTAGTGGAAAACTCAATGCCTGCCAGCCAGTGTGAATCGATTGAAACAATTTTTTAGGTTGCAAATTACTAAAAAAAAAAAACACACAAAGTTCTTTTGTTAATGCACACATATTTTCAACCCCAAACATGTTAAGTTAAGCATCTTTTTTTTTTCCCGACAACAATAATAACATTTTTATAATTTAATGTATCCTATTATAAGAAAGAGGAGCTTAAAAAGGTTGTGTAAAGAACTAATAGGTATACAAATTGAATTTTTTCCCTACAGGTAGGATTCAAACCCCCAAACGAGGGACTTGGCCCCTTTTCAATAGCCACTGAGCTTGGGTTCAATGGTTGTTAAGCATTCACCTAATACTGCTTGACGAAGCTGCCGTTCATGCTACTGAGATTTATTCCGGACAGTGCCAAATGGCAGAAGCACCCAGTCTCAGCATATTTTTCGTCAGCCAAACCAGCTGGTGATCAAGTCAAATTAGGAACTAATACGGTCTAGAGAAAGCAACGAGAAACTACTACGTCGCAGTGCTATTGTAAAATTGATGGAATGTCAAAGTGTCCCACTAGAATATTTTATGCTTGGTAGCTATTGAATATAGGAGCCTAAAGCAGAGCTACTTAGACAGAATTCTAGGTACCTACAAGTCCTTCCTTTGTTTTAATTTATAGTTTGGATTCTTCCTTAAAAGAATCCAGCTGCTCATACTTTGCAAAAGAAAATGCTAGTGATTAGCGATTATTGATTAAGCGACTAATGATGCGTTAATGTACCTTCCAAACTCTGCTATCATTGAAGCCGTGTACACTCATTTTGGGCTTCAAAAGCATACTACTATTTTGGTATTAGAGATCCCTAAGAAAACTTGTTATCAGCGACTTTTTCATGTTAAAATTTATTGTCTGTGCATACATATAAAAATACGGTAAGCTGAATTTGCATGATGATGAATGATTAGTACGTTGCAGTTTAAAAACTACACTCCCGTGCACACGTTTGCATAGTATTAATAAATAAACACGCTAGCTACAATCATCAAGGGAGAAGCTGGGCAATCAATTTTTCCATATTTCCCGCTGAACATTTTTATAGTATTTGGTCGGCAATCAATTGATGATTGTAAATTAACATTTTTGTAACAGCATAACTAAATTCTAAGGTTGCTGAACCATGGCATGATCTAGTTGTGCACTAAGCTTTTGCAATTGATATACTTCAAAAAAAGTCGGTTATTGTCTGATGGATGGTGGGTTCTTTGCTAGGAAGGTAATCTAGAGTTGTTCTCCTGTCTTCTCCTACGTGGAACAGGTAGCGGTCCACGTTCTTACGAGTAATTTTGGGATCTCAAACTTTTGGCTTGATATCAATTATGTGTTTATAGCCTCTTGATTACAAATAATATGTCTAATGAACGATCCAATCGCATACCACAAATGCCAGAGCATGAGAGCGAGATCCCGTTGAGAAAACATGGAAGGATGACGCAAACTAGTCAAAGCATTTCTTTCTTTCTTTTTTTGAGTCAACCCATGATCAAGGCTCAGGCGGAAAATTGTTTTTCTTTTGTGTATATTTTGCTGTTGGCTCGATATGATGTACCAAAGGGCGTCCATGTTGTATCATACCATCTAGGGTTGGTAGAATTTATGGTGTTTACTCTACTCGTCGGGACTTAAATTAGTTTTAGCCTGCCTAGCAGTTTTTGAAGGTCTCCTCCCGTAACTTGTAAACGGAATCCCCCCCATGCGTTGTATTTGAAAAGCATGATGCAGACTCCAGTGACCATGGGTTTCTCATTATTCAGAAATTTGTTTTAATCTGGAAGACACCTAAAGCAAAACCACCTGGTCAGATGAGTCATTGAATATGATCTAGTAGAAAATGAGACCTAGGCCGCGCTCTCCATTCATACGGGCCAGCCTCGCACTTGCCACTGGGCTATACTTTGCTTCGGGTCTTGGAACGAGCAAAAATGGATTGCAGTTTCTCAAATCTTGTCTAACCTCGAAGACCAAATTCCAAGAAAATACTCTCCTTTGAAATCCTAGCTGGCAAAAATGAGACAATACGCCTGGATTTTTTTAATGCCACCAAGCTTTAATGCTTGGGTGGTGACAATACTACCCGCCCAAAGGCTGGTGGTTAACAATGAGACAATACACCAATGACATTTTAAGTGACAAGTGCAGCAAAAGGCTTTAATTAATATAGACACATTCATGAATACATTGAAACAAACTTTTGTAAGTGACAAAAGACAAATATAACTGCTTTTTATCTTAAAGCAGATCAAGTTGGCAGGCATCATGCAGCTAAAAATATGCTAGTTAGTTCTCCGGGAAGGAGAACAATGGCAAAGTAGAAAATTAAACACAATGTACATGGCAAAGACCAGCACACGGCAGAATAAGAGTTAAGCCTATGACTGAAAAAATGCACGCCCCCAATGACCAAATTTGAAGTGCAGGAGTTTAAATCTTGGATATGCCAGACAAGACTGGGAAGGAGGTCACTTCGGCTAGCCAGCAGGCGGATAACCTGCAGGAGGATAGCCTTGAGCTTGAGGAGGTGGATAACCAGCAGGAGGATAGCCTTGAGCTTGAGGAGGTGGATAACCAGCAGGTTGCCCGTATGCAGGAGGTGGATATCCAACGGTGGGTGGATATGCCTGATCAAGGCGTGACATTTGCTGAACGGGTGGCACAGCCATAACTTGAGGACCAAACTTACCATCCCGTTTGTCCATTTCAACCTTGTGTTGTGTCTGCCATGGATCGTGTGCGATAGAAATAAGAAAGGGAAGAAATAGCAAGCAAATAAATAATTCTGTTCGACCGTTGGAAGTTCCAAAATCTTTTGAAGCAAAAGAATAGAAGTTCTTTTCAACTCCATCAACAAAGGAATCAAATCATGGAAATTGAAAAGCATTTTAAATTAATCAAACATTCAATTTGTCCATCTTCTGCATACCTGCATACACGCACAGACCCTGCAAAACCAAAGTAACAAAGATGATCAACACCAATTCCTGAGAATTGACTTCGAAAGCTTTGATTAGAAGAGGACTTGAAAAATCTTACGTGCAGTAGACCAAATCTGATAAGCAGGAAAGCAACTGCGAGGCCTCCGAGATTTCATCACTTCCAACAATCATTGCCACAATCGAAAATATGCAAGCAAGTTGTGAAAGGCAGAACATGAACCCCTAGGCCACAGAAACATAAATGATAAAAACCAGATAGCTATGCCATCAACTCAAAATCACAATAAGAAACACAGAAATGAAAGGCATCACTCACTCACATGCAGACACAGAGATAAACGCGTGAGCATGCGTGCGCACACATACAGAGAGGGTGTGTGTAAGAGAGAGAGAGAGAGAGAGAGAGAGAGAGAGAGAGAGAGAGATTACGATAATGCAATTATCACATCGTGTAGTTTGTATATTGAACTCATCTTGCAACAAAAACCGAGTAGAAGCAACTGAATTTGCAAAGCACAGGAAAACCTGGAAAGTTGACAGAGAAGAATTATAACGTATTTAAAAGCACATTAAAACCAACAAATC